ACGACCCCAATCCTTTCTTCGTGTCTAAACATGATTTGTCCTTGTGTCTCGGAGCTCTCGCCTTTGAGTTTCCATAGAGGTTCTACATAGGAGGTTCGTGTGTGGTCCTTGCTAGGATGAGAAAAATGAAGTGTAGTGTTGGAGTGAGTTTCTCAAAAAGAGAGCATTGTTCGTTAAATGCATAGGTGGCAAGTGTATTTACTCTCTAGTACCCCCCCTGAAAAAGAAAAGAAGAAAAAGAAAGAAAAGAAAAGAGAAACGAAAAAGTTAATAAAATAGGGTAAATAAAGTAGAGAGTGCCACGAAAAACCAAAGTACATGCTCTACGAGGGGTTTCTTGGCACCCAAGCCACCGAAACCTCCACATTGTTTTAGAACTCCTCACTACCAAACCTTAATGTGCTAGCAAGGGTATACCGAGGAAGAGCACTTCAATGTAGTTCACGATGGGTGCTAGTGGCCTTGGGTTGAAAATAGGGTTTTTAGTAGAAACCGTAGTTTGGAAAGCAGAGATAAGGATTTTGGCTGGTGCTAGTGGCCTTGGGTTGAAAAGAGGGTTTTTAGTAGAAACCGTAGAACCTTTCGGGTTTAGGTTGAAGTTGTAAAACCTCACGTCATGATTGCCACCACCCAAAAAGCCTTTTTCCCATGTCCAAGACAATTGCAGTCATCTGAACCCGTGTCTAAGACCTCCGGACGAGCTAGTGGTGACAACCATCCCGTGAACTCTAGCATCTAGAGGTTACTGCCGTGGTATTGAGACGATAGGGCCGAGAGTTTATGATTGTGCACATCTTTTGCACCAAAAAGGTCCCGACTCCACTGGTCTTGAGAGTGAGTGATTCATTCTTGTTTGGCATGTCATATCATACCCAGGTGAGGACCTTTGTTGCCTTTCCATTTGTTCCTCGGACTTGAATTCCATGCATAGTCGGTTGTGGTTGATAAGTGGTCTTGTTGCGACTTGCATTGATTCATGAACAAGGTGAGAACTTTTCGTTTGCCCGTTTTTGGTGGTTTTGAATGTCGTTTGTGGTGGATGTTGGTATTGCTTGCAACGTTCCATGTATTGATTTCCAATAGTCATTGAGAATTCCCACTTTGTGCCCTTTGAGTTGTCCCCAAAGTATTTGTGTAGGTTGAAATATTACCTTGTGTGAAATGGTTTGCTTGGGGACAAGCAAATGTCTAAGTGTGGGGAAGTGATTTGGGCCTAATTGTACTTGTTTTGCACCCGTTTTACTTAGGTGTTTGTGCCAAATTCGCTCCTAAAAGGTTGGTTTTGCGCTAGGTTCCTCGTGTTTTAGTGGGTTTCAGGATTTGACAGGTGAAACCAGCCTCGGAGTCGAAAGTTTGGCGAAAAGGATCGAAAACCGAGAGAAGAGGTGAAAAAGAGCAAGTTCAAGGCTATCCAAGGAAGTTCACGTTCTTGCATGACCGTGAAGAAGAGGCCTTAACCTTGAATCACGAGGTGTCTAGAGCCAAAACAGAGGTTACTGACGCAAGGTGAGTTCATGATCACTAAGACCGTGAACGAAGGTTGTTGACCGTGAACAGAAGAGCTCAAAGCGGTGCGTTTTTGGCGCACGCCTGCAGTTCAAGGACGCGTTTTGTGGTTCACGGCCGTGAACTCAGGCCGTGAACTCAGCTCGTCTTTGGTTTAAATGATGAGATGAAAGGAGGAGAGATGGGAGAGCCCATTTTTGTAAGAGAAGCATTCTTCAGAATTCTAGAGTGAGAAACACGAACCAAAGGGAGAAGAAGGTTAGGGTTTTGCTTCAAGGCATATTTTGGGAAGATTTCCACCAAGGAAAGCTCAACTAGAGGGCCAAGAAGACTGAGAGCATCCTCCAAGATGGTTTCCACCTCTTTCCCTTTTGTTTTTCCCACTTCTAGCATGGAGTAGACCTCCTTTCACTTGGATGTTGTGAAACCCTAATTCTACCAGGTAGTTTTCTTTTATGTGTATTGAATGATTATCATTGGGTATTGCTCTATTCAATGATTGAGGCATTATTTATCATGATTGTGCATGCTAGTGCTTAGCAACCTAGGGGTTGTGCATGTTTTGTGCTTAGCATCCTTAGGTTTGTGCATTTAGGTGCTTAGCAACCTAAGGATTGTGCACAATTGTGCTTACCACCCTTAGGTTTGTGCATGTTGGTGCTAGCAATCTAATTGGCCACCTTAGACTAGCTTAAAGAAAAAAATCCCCCATCCAAGGGAGACTCAATCGAGTTGGTTTTCCTTCCGCTTTCTAGGCCACCTAACTAGGTTAAGTTAGGGCAACCCTCAATGTTGACATAAGCAAATCAGTTAATTGCGATTAAATAGTCCGACCTTTGAGTTGAGTAAGGGAGTAAGTCAATTACCGATTGTCTAAAGCGAGAGGGTTCAGTGACATGGCCTCTCATGCTTACCTCGATTTCGCAATTGAGATTGTGGTCTTCGGACATATATGCATCCCTCTGCGGTTCGCGATTAATGTGCCCAAGGCAATCGTTCCAATTCACCTATCATGGTAGCAGTTAGGGGGAAGCGACACCCGAGTGTTCCTTCCACAAAAGAGTTTCCAAAACCATTTACCTTTGCCTTCTTTTATTTCAATTAGCAAGCCTTTAAACAAAAACTTTGTTGCTATATAATGATTTCAACAACCGAAGTACGGATAGACGGACCAGCCCGGGTTGATATCTAAATACATGCTCTATACTGCACCCGGCTAGAGTTTAAAACTTGGACTCTAATCGGGATTTTATTGTGGTGTAGTTTCGTGCGAGTCAGCCTCTCATGGGGACCTATATCCAGGAACCCGAAACTTTACTATATTCGAGCGCAAGTTCTAGAGTCTTCCACTTTGGCGGTAAGAAAGCGGTTTGGTTCAACATTTAACCATTGGCGACGTCTCAAAAGCATTGCATTGGCACTCCTAAAAAAGAAATAACATGCCTAGCTCCTCCTCTAAAGATGAAGCAAGCTATATGAGCTCCATCTGTCTAGCAAGGGAAATTTCGCGTTGAGGACATCGCCTCTCATAGGAACCTTTGGTCCAGATGACCGACGCTCGACTAAAGAGTCAAGCGCAACCTGAAAGACGTTTGGCGCTTTGGGGGGAAAGAACCCGGGTGGGTTCAACATCCTTAACTATTGGTGGCACTGTCCAAAGCATTGCGTCGACACTCCTGAAAAGGAAATAACGTGCCTAGCTTCTCCACAATGAAGGAAGCAACTTATATGAGCTCCATCTATTTAAGCATGAAATATTTTGAGAGATGTATCGGGGACATTGCCTCTCATGGGAACCTATGATCCATGCGCTCGACACTCAACTAAAGAGTCGAGTTTAAGCTATAAGACTCTTTCGCTTTGTCGGGAAAGAAAGTTGTTAGACTCAACCCCCTTAACTGTTGATGGTGCTTCCCAAAGCAATGAATTGGTGCACCTAAAAAGGAAATAACACGCATATATTCTCTTCAATGGAGGAAGACAGCTACGTAAGCTCCATTTATCTAAGAAGGAATACAGTATCAAAATAATCATGTCGTGAAGTGGTGGAGACTCTCTTTTCTATTGTTGGAGATCGACCAAGGAGTGCACCATTGGTGTCTGCTCTATTTGACGTGCATACTTGTGAACAAGATAGCAAATTTTCGAACAATTTTGTATGATGTCTTTGGGCAGGGAGGAGTACCAATTGTTGCATATTCTGGTGATGGTATAAGGACATGCTTTGCCTAAAGCAAGCATCTTATGCGTTCAGCAGTTGCATCTTCCGATAAAAATCATTCAAGTAGTTTTGGGGTTGGGCCTTCCTTCTATGCGGGTAAGCCCGGCTTGCAAATTTTTGGGGATTGTCACTCCAACACCCTTTTGATAGTGGTTTTTTGAAGATTCGGGTGGTCTATTCTTTATATGCTGAAACAAAAGAGGGTTCTCATATGATTCCAGTGCCTCTTGCTTTTGTCAGGCGCCCGCAGCCTCCTCTTCATTGTTGGTATCTGTTGACAAGTAAGCCAGTCATTAATCTCAAATCAAGGGAAGGCAATCTTGGCTCTGGTGAATCTGCATTTGGAAAGAATCATTTGCGCAGGGAAAGCATATTTGCGTGAAACGGAAGGTTTGATTAGACGAGATATTCACCCTGACCCTGCAAAACAGAGTATGGCCTGGAGAACAAAAGGTAAAATGCATAATCGAGTAACACTGACTCAATTTTTACGTGGTTTCTAGTATTGGGAGAATGAGGATCCCAATACTGACTATTCCACGGGCCGGAGAATCACGGTTTGTGATTTCCGACGATTCACTAGGTATGATGATCTTGTTTCTTTGACAGAATTACACTCACGAGGTTAACCTATCCAATCCTGGATGATCAACCAAATTACTGACAACTATCTCCCAATCCCCAAGCTATCCAACTTCTGTGTTTTCCAACACACTTCCTCTCTAACACTGTTTCACTCTTGAATCAATGCTAAAGCCACTTTTAACTATCAATCACACTTGCTATTCCCTTAGCCTTCCCTGTGTGCCTTGATCTCTCGGAAAAGCTACTTCTCTTGATTCTGAGCGAGCTATTTGTACTCCATAGTGGCTAGCCGTTGTAACTCAAGTAAGGTAGGTCTTCTCCTTTGAATTCCTTCCTAAAATACTCGTCTAATCAAACCTTCCGTTTACCGCAAATCTGCTTTCCCTGCGCAAATGATCCTTTCCAAATGCAGATTCACCAAAGCCACGATTGCCTTCCCTTGATTTGAGATTAATGACTGGCTTACTTGTCAACAATCTCCCCCTAAGCCAGTCAATGATCCCCTAAGCTGCTTATGGAGTTCCTGCACACACTTTAACAAACTGTTACGTGCAGACTGTTCTCGAAAAGGTTTTGTTGAGATAGATCAAACAAGGTGAAACTCAAACACATACCATTTTATTGAACATTGGAGCTGATACTCAAGACAACCAGACACGGACTCAACAAAAAAACAAACAAACTGACATGAGCTAAGACAGCTTTATTCAACATTGATACTGCATATTCTAAAAAAAACTACCAACTTAATCCCCACAAAGACCAGTTTCTCAACTCCCCCTAAGCTTAACCTCGACTCCCCCTAAGATTAATATTCCCTCTAAACGAAAACCTAGGTGAAGGCACATAATCTGATATAGCATCTTCATCCTCCATCATCATATTCCTATTGCTGCTGCTTGCTTCCTTCTGCTTGAACATGGCTTGAACAGCCTCCAAAGGATCCACCATTGGTCGCTTACCATTATCTCTGACTGTGCCAACCAGATCTGTCATATCCGGTTCTTCCTCTGCTTCATCCCCAACCAGCTCAGACAAACTGAGTCCATCCTGATGTGAGGGAACTCCAACAACTGCTTCTCCCCCTGGAACATTGACCAGAGGGCGACAACGGCCAACAGATGCATCCACCTTACGTAGGATGAATTGATCACGAAGAGAGCTGAGCATATCTACACGAGCCACCTTAAAACGTAGGTCTATTCCTAAGGCCAGCAGGTTCTGAGTGATTTGTGGAGCGAAGGGAAGCTCGACATCATAGTTGTTAGCATGGTAGTTCAGCATGTGGTCGAACATTAGATGAGGGTAACTTATTACCTGATTCTCCTTGGCACTAGCAAGAATCCATAGGTATGAGGGATAGATAGTATTGAGCCCAAAGGATCTAGGCAAAAAGCATCGGGATATGTAAAAATGCAATACTTTGAGATCATCAGGAAGCCTGCCAGAGTGAAATTCAGAGGGATAGTAGCGACCTGTGTCGCGGGTATACAGACGCAGAGCGTCTCCCTCATTGAACTCAATAGAGTGAAAATCAGACTCATTCATGACTTCTGCTCCGGCGATGGGAATGCCAAGCAACAGAGACAGCAATTCCACATTGATAGTGATCAGATAATTGTACACTATCGTTGTGAAGCATGGAGGAGAAATATGAAGGCAAGGCTTCATGTTTGCATAGAACATTCGTACTGCCTCAGGATGAAACCCAAAGTTTCGATTTGGAAGAATATCACCCCAGCCAATAGTGTTAATCAGGCGCGATATATCCATCCCATACCTATTGAACCTGGAGGGATCAAGAATAATGGAGGGATGCAGAGGACGATCTTGGAACTGGAGAAGATAGCGAGCATAACCTGCTGCATCCTCAAACCCTTTGCCATTGAAAATGGCAGCTTGAGCCAAACGCAGGGATGCTACGTGATGATTGGGAGCAGCCATGAGAACTTTTTAGTTGAAAGAGTGGGATGTGGATCTGAGAGTGATTGAGTGATGAGAGGAAGGTTTCAACCCTGACCCCTTTTATAGTGGGTCAAAGGGTTAATTAAGAGAAGGTAGGGTATGAATAAGGAATATAAAGAGGCTTGATCCGGAAGAATAGAGATTCCATGAATCATGGGAAATACGATTAGGAAAGGTAACTCAGATCACCAATTAAGAAGATTCTTGGGGCTGAGCTGACAATTCAACTATATCTTGTAAGGCAAATAACCCTAACTCTCGACGAATGCGAATGAAGGATTCAGAGCCCAAAGGCTTTGTGAATATATCAGCCCATTGACAAGAGGTAGCAACAAATTCTAGTCATATTTGTCCTTCTTCCACTAATTCACGAATAAAGTGATAACGAACATCAATCTGCTTAGTTCGTGAATGTTGGACTGGATTTTTGGTCATATTGATTGAGCTTGTGTTATCACACAGAACAGGTACAACACCAGGAAACAACCCATAATCTTGCAGCTGATGCTTCATTCAGAGGATTTGAGTACAACATCATCCTGCTGCAATGTACTCAGCTTCAGCTGTTGACAGTGCGACAGAGTTTTGTTTCTGGTATCACACAGAACAAGTACAGCACCAGGACACTAAAGAAGTACTCAGAAATTGACATGTTCCCGAAGTACTTTTCCGGTCTATGACGCATCCTGCGTAATCAGCATCCGAATACCCTAAAAGTTCTAAACTAGAGTCACGAGAATACCACAATCCTAGGTTCGGACACCCACTCAGGTATCTACAAATTCATTTGACAGCACTTAGATGACTCTGTTTAGGTGAACTCTGAAATCGAGCACACACACACACACACACGCTGTACATGATGTTAGGACGACTAGTTGTCCGGTACAACAGGGAACCTATCATACCCCTGAACAATTTATCATTTACTGTTGTTCCTGATTCATCCTTATCAAGTTTTGTGTTTGATGCCATGGGGGTTATGGCAGTCTTTAAGTTCCCAAAATCAAAGCGTTTTAACATGTTCTGAAGATATTTGGTTTGACAAATAAAGGTTCCAGCAGGGGTTTGTTTAATCTGAAGCCCTAGAAAGAAGTTCAATTCCCCCATTAGACTCATATCAAAAGCACTTTTCATTTTATTTCAAAATCTTTGCAAAGCTTTTCACATGTAGACCCAAAAATGATATAATCCACATACACTTGAACTAGCAGAATATGTTCTTGTTCTTGTTTAATAAACAGAGTCTTGTCTACCTTGCCTCTCCTAAACCTATTTTCCAAAAGGAAAGAGCTAAGTTTGTCATACCAAGCTCTGGGAGCCTGTTTTAACCGATATAATGCCTTTTTTAGCTTATATACATGATTAGGATAACTGTGATTTTCAAAACCTGGAGGTTGATACACATAGACTTCTTCTTTTAACTCTCCATATAGAAAAGCGCTTTTTTCATCCATTTGAAATAATTTAAATCCTTTAGAACTAGCAAAGGCATATAGCATACGAATTGCTTCTAGTCTCGCAACTGGGGCAAACGTTTCCTCAAAATCTATTCCCTCTTCCTGACAGTATCCTTGTGCCACCAACCGAGATTTGTTTCTAACTACAGTTCCTATCTCATCTGACTTGTTTTTGTAAATCCATTTTGTACCAATTATTACTCGATTTTCAGGTTTGGGTACCAATTTCCACACATTTGCACGTTCAAACTGGTTCATTTCTTCAAACATAGAAGCTGTCCAGAATTCATCCTGAAGAGCTTCTTCTACATTCTTAGGTTCGATTAAAGAAACAAAAGTTGCTAAGGATGGTAGAGTTCTGGAACGAGTTGTCATACCTTGATCTCTTCCAATAATCTGGCTAGGAGGATGTCGCTTAACTACGTGTGGAGGGGGTTGCACAGAGGTTCCTTCTTATCCATCTTCCATGTCAGTCTCTGTTTCCTTTGACTTATCTGAGATTGTACCTCCCTTTCGTTCTTAGCAGAAGGCTGCTCTGTGTTCTTGGCTTGAGATACTTCTGCTGACCCTGGTTTATTCTGCGTAATACTCTTTCCAAGACCAAAGTCATCGTCATCGAGTATATTTGTACACTCAATAGCACCCTCATCAAATATCACATTGGCGGACCCCTCAACCTTGAGGGTCTGCATCGAATTTCCCTAGATTATCCTTGGTGTTTAAAGCATAACACTTACACCCAAATGGGTGAAAGTATCATAAGTTAGGCTTTCTTCCTCTCCAGATTTCATAGGGAGTTTTATTTACGCTTGATCTAATTAAAGCTCGATTAGTTATATAACACGCTGTATTAACTGCCTCTGCCCAAAAGTACTTGGGCAAGCTGTAGTCATGAAGCATAGTGCATGCAATATTAATTAAAGTTCTATTTTTTCGTTCCACTACTCCATTTTGTGTGGAGTCCTTGGAGCAGAAAAGTTATGAGTATTCCTGAATCATTACAAAATTGCTCAAACATATCTGAACAGAATTCCCCTCCATGATCACTCCTGATACTGGCAATTTTACTTAACTTCTCATTTTGAACCTTTTTAACCAACGTTTTAAAATTTTCAAAAGCTTCATCTTTCTTAGCTAAGAATAACACCCACGTAAACCTCGAGTAATCATCCACAATAACAAATGCATAAGATTTCCCACCATAACTAACCACATTTGCGGGGCCAAACAGATCAAGATGCAGTAGTTCTAGGATTCTGGATGTGGAAATGACTGGTTTACTTTTAAAACTTGACTTAGTTTGTTTTCCTTGGGCACAAGCATCACAGAAGAAATGGTTCTTCTCGTTAATTCTTGGCAGGCCCTTAACTAGATTCATTCTAGCCAATTTGGAAAGGACAGCAACATTAACATGCCTAAGCCTTCTATGCCAGTCTTGTTGCTCACTAGCTTCCATCCTAACTAGGCACAATTCATTAAAACTACTCTTGTCGTTTAGATCAATGGTATAAATTTTCCCGCTCCTCTTTCCTTTGACTAGAATCTGTCTGCTTTTAACATTTTCCACATAACAGCAATTTGACTCGAAGATCACACGACTATCCTTTCCACACATCTGGCTTATGGATATTAGGTTATGTTTCAAGCCTTCCACTAGCATTACATTTCTTATGCAAGGACTGGTTCCCACTTGTCCTTTACCAATAATTTCAACTGAATTGTTATCACCAAAGTAAACTTTACCAAAATTACCTAGCTTAAGAGTTGAGAAAAGATGTTTATTACCTGTCATATGGTGTGAGAAGCCGCTTTCCATGACCCACTTAGTCACCACCGTGCTCACTCGAAGGCAACTCTGCAAACACAACATTCATTTTGTTTTGCGAACCCAGACCTTCTTGGATGCATTTGTGATTCCTGAATTATGATACTGTTCAAACTGATTACATGCAGGAGTACCATTGTTTTTCCTTCCAGTTTCTGATTTGACTACCCATACTTGTTTAGTATAGGTAATGAGACCAAGGTGGATTCCTGTTTTTTACAGTTTCTGACCTAAGTCTTTTTTCTGCAATCCTTGATTCTGTGACCATATGTATGACAGTAGTAGCACTTGACTACTTCTTGATCACTTTTTATTCTCTTCCCATACTTAGCGTGAATTTTATGATGACTTCTGTTTTCTTGTAATTTTCTCTTAAGATTTGCACATTCATTTTGAAACTCTTCCTTTTCTCCTTTTATTTGCAGTAAACTGTCATTGAGCAGATTCTCCCTAAGTTTACTAGATTCTAATTCATTCCCTAATTTTGTTAATCTCATGAGATTAACTTCATTTTACTTCTTTAATTTACTGTATTTTATTTTAACATTTTCAAATTCTATCTGAATATCATTAATAATTTCTACCAGTAGATCATCTTCAGGATTGCATAGTTGTTCTAGTTCAGCAGATTTTACCTGGGTCAAGGATACAGGAGATGTAGATTCTTCATCTTCTTCCTCCACTTGAGCAATTGCCATATATGACCTGTGGATGGTTACTTCATCGTCATCATCGTCTTCATCTTCACTACAACTCCATGTTGCTGCTAAAGCTCTCTCTTTTTTCAGCTGGGGGCACTCAGCTTTAATGTGCCCCATTCTGCCACATTTGAAGCATCCAGTGCCTCTTGCTTTTGTCAGGCGCCCGCAGCCTCCTCTTCATTGTTGGTATCTAGTAGTGCTTCGATTTTATTTTCCACTGCATACGACTTGTCAGGTGCCTGGACATGTCCTTTTGCTATTGCAGAGAGAGTAACCATCACCTGATCTAGTTGTCCTATCATGCTCGTCGTGCCATTCGTCGCCCTTATTTTTTAGGAGTTTGGCAAGATGGCTCCTCACCCATTCAGCCTCTTCTTCTTTTGTGGCATTTAACGCAGTCAAACTTCCATGTAAAAGCAAAATGATGGGTAAAAGAGGAAGCGCAAAAGCGAAGCCTAAGCTTTAAATGTTATAGAAGTTATAGAAAATTGATAAAAAATTTCTCTTCATAATTTTCATTTTCAAAATATAAGCAAATAATGGAACTAACTCATATATTAAATATCACTCCTACATACATAAATTAAGTTATTAGGCTTTTAAACAAGCTTTCGTTGTATTCCTCATGCTTTTGGGGGAAAATGTGAAAAAGGAACCATCGACAGATGATGAAGCTATAAGGGTTGAGGAAACCTTCACTAATAAGTGAAAGTGGCGGCTGATGGGAGACGACCGTAGTCGAGGTTCAATGAAAATGTAGTCACATGGGGTGGGATTTGCAGGGATGGTAAAGGAAGTTGGAGGCAGAGAAAAGACAAGAATTGAGGAGAAGTGACAATGAATTAGGGATGATGAATTCGTAGAACAAAAGAGTGAAAGGATAACCTGACTAAAAAAAAATAAAGTTGTTTCGTCTTTTCTCTTTTGGTCAACAAAATTAACCAAAACCGATCCAATATGGTGGGTGTGTAATGGTTTATTCAAGAGCAAACCTCATCAGGCCAAACCGAGATCGAGAATGGACCATCCCGACCAAATATAATGTA